CGTTGATTGATTTTATTCCTGCTGCTTACTGGGAGGAAATATAAGCAGAGCCTGTTTGATCAGGTCAAAGCCTCATTTAGTCCAGCAATTTATTCTCCCAGGGGCTAGTTATATGCCTCTCCTGGCCCACCCAGCTAAGGAAGGCATATGTCTGATAGTTCAGTCTTCATTGACAAAACAAGCACTTACAGCAACTCCCACAGTGCTCCAGATGTGTGCGTGCGTGCGTGCGTGCACACACACACACACACACACACACGGCTGTCCCTCAGATCTGCACCAAAAGGTTGCCCTCCTCTCTGCCAGTTTATATACCCTGCCCTGACAGGTTGCACACCTGCAACCCGAGACTTTTTTGGCATGGAAGTTGTCCCACTTCAAGCCCCTTCTGGTTCTAGGAGACAGTAGGGCAGGGAAAGGCGAGCAATCTACTGACCCGTCTGTCACTGGAACAGCCTCTGCATCTTCCACCACATTCCACGTGCCTTCCTCCATCTCAGAATGTTCTGACTCTTCCTCCTCCCCCTCCCCCTGCCCTTGCTTCTGCCTTGTGACAGATGCCAAACCCCATAAATCACTGGTCCCCTCTGCTGGGTCAATCTCCTGGCCCCTTGCCTCTGTCACACACTCTGTGGAGCCTCTGAGAATTGTAGCTTTGTGAAGTGCAATAGGTGTCTCTTGGGAACTCTCCGAACCCTTAACAAACTACAGTTCCCAAGATTCTTTTGGTGGAACCATGACTGTTTAAAGTGATAGCAAAGTGCTTTAAATGTGACCTAGTTCAGTGGGACAAGCCAGAGTATTTCGCTTCTATCCCCCAAAGTCTTTGGGCCACACAAAATGAATGGGGCAAAGTAGATGGAAGAGCCAGATAGAACAGCAAAGGGAATGTTAACATAGCCATGGATAGAATATTTTTGTCCCCAACAGTGGAGTTAGGTACTTTTACAATCTTGACTTAATGGTCAAATGGGAACTCCTCTTTAGAAGATAATGTGTGTTGCTTAATTTCTTTCTCCTTGTGGTACACCAGCACTGCTCATTCTGCTGAGCATTGCCCTGGGACATCTGCCCCAAAGTGCTGCCTTGATGACACCAGTATTTGTTCCTCTCCTGTATTGAAAATGTGTAACATTCCTGTTTTACTTAATTACAATGAATTCCTGGTGGCAAGTGTCCTATGCCTTCCTAAGTGACTTGGATAATTGTCCCCTGAATTCACTCCCCACCCCCACCAGAAATCTTTAAAGTCTTCCCACCTGGTTATTTTTCATGAATATATACCAAGCAGGCATTTGATTCTGCCCCTTCCCTTCCCTTCCATCATATCATTCTCTTTTCATCAGCTGCTTCTGGTCCTAAGTTTGGAGACCAGGTAACAAAAGAGCACTGTGGAGTTCAAATATCATGAACTAATCTGCAGCAATAGAGGACCTTGTTGAGGACTAGCCATTTAATCTTGACAGATGCTGGCCAGAAGGGGTTTGAAACATGTCCCCCTTAGGAATCTCATCCGTTAGCTTAAGTAGCAAGATCTCACCAGAAACTTTCGTACCACTGTTAGATGAGCAACAGGGAGTTGAGGGATTATGATTTCTCTTAGTGAACACCGTACAGCTTCCCTCCTTCAACAGCATTTGAAACAGGTAAGATGTTTAATTTTGGATGAGGATCAATGAGAAATGTAATTATAAGCACCTTCACTAAGGAATGAGGAATATTGGGAGCTACTGTGGATCCCTTTGCAGCCCAGCGATGGAGTAATTCCAGCAGTTGTAAGTGCGTAGAGATGTGCTGGGAAAACTTGTCAATAGAGGACCCCAGTTGCTTTGCAGAAGTTTCAGCCCAGAGAATTGCTCCTGAGCAAACATTAATGAACATTAAAAGCTGCCTTATACTAGGTCAGACAATTTGTACATATAGGCTATAACTGTGTATGCTGACCAGTAGCAGCTTTCCAGGTCTCAGGCAGAAAAGGACCTGTGATCCTGTTTAAAGAAACAGCCTGGGGTCCCTTTCAGCTAGATATACTAAGGTTCAAACACAGAACTTTCTGCATGCATTCCATGTGCTCTCCTATGAGCTATTGGCTCATCCAAAAATGGTACATTCATTGGACACGTTTTCCTATGTATCTTCGTCCTTGAGAATCACTCCGGCAACCATCTCACTGCTGAAGTGTCCTCAATCCCAGCTGTTCTGTTGCATGAATAAACTAGCAGTTTAGGGTATGCAATATTTGTCATATATATGACAACTTTATAGAATAAGCACATACACAAAAAGGCAGCTGTCCCCAAGGAAGCTTTGCTAGTAGGAAGAAGATAGGTGAGAAGGGAAAGAGAAGTGTGGCAAAAGCAATAAAGGGGAAAATGGGGCAAATGCATGGAATTCTAGAGTTAGAAGAGACCTCAGAGTTTATCTGTAGAAAATCCATGAGTTCAGCATCACCGATAATTCTGCAAAAAAAAAAAAAAAAGAGCACCTTTCATGAAGGAGAAACCCTCACCTCCTGAAATATTCAATTCCAATGCTGAACAGCTTTTATCACCAGGACATATTTCCTAATGTTTAGTTGCCATTCGCTTTGCTGGGATGTGAAGGTTTGAGTCCTATACTCTAGATTAACGGGGGATGAATTAGCCCCATCTCTCTCAGATATTTGAAGACCGCTATTTATAATGCCTAATCTTCCCCTTTCTGGGATATTTAGACTTCCTTGAGGTTGGGGAAAGATGTTGGAGGAAGGCAGGCAGAAATTAAGCATGAGAAGATTTGTATAAATGATGGGTTTTAAGGAGGGAGTTGAAGAGGAACATAGGAAGGTGCCTTATACCAAGTCAGACTGTTGGTCCATCTAACTCAGTGCCATCTGCACTGATAGACAGCAGCTTTTGGGGGTTTCAGGAAGGGGATTTTCCCCAGCCTTACCTGGAGATGCTGGGGATTGAACCTGTGTCCTTCTGCATGCAAAGGCACTGAACTATGGTCCTTCCATGCATAGCTCCATCTAAAGAACCTGAGAGAGTTCCAAGCATAAAAGACCCACAAGGGGAAACAGGTGGAGTTGCTGGGAGGCCCCTGCTTCTCTGCAAGACAATCTTTGCATGGAACTGAACGTCTGAACGATGAGCACAGGCACTTGCCACAAATTAACCAGAGGCAAACAATCACTTCCCCTTCCTAGCTCAGAGGTTGTCCGGCTCATTGTCGCCGTGTCACCTTTTCAGCATACCTGTCCACGTAGACACTATAGAAGCAGAGGCAGGGAGGCAGTAGGGTGCCCAAACCTCTGCCAAGATTCGAGGGGCAGAGGACAGAATGGAATCTCACTCTCCACCTGCTCTTGGCCTTCATTTAGTGGCTGAGCCGTCTCAAGGCCAGGAGGGCGTTTTTGGATAACCCTCCACTTGTAACCCTGGATTCACAGCATGTTGGGTTGCCTGCGAATTCCTGTGCTCTGCTGCTCTCCTCCTTGGTAGTAAAAATGATCACCCATCAGCCAGTTTATAAATAGCAAATAATTGCTAGTGAAAGAACGGGTGATGCATTCTGAATCCTATTTTGGGTGTCTCGTTGCAGGGGGAGGCTGTTAATCACAAAGCAATAGCAAGATCTTGGACAAGGAGATGCTCCAGGTGCAGAGTCCATGGGAGGGGAAAGGAGGAGACCGGGAAGAGATGAGGAACCAGACTACCTTTGAGTTATACCTTTCCAGAGCAAAACAGCCCTGTCCATCTGAAGGCATCCTGGCAACTCCAGCCTTCATCTTGAAAGTTCCCTTGGCTATGCTGGGATCAATTTAATAGAGCTATTTGCTGCTGCTGCTGCTTCTCCTCTCTTTTTTGTAATTGTTTTTATTTTATCTGCAAATGTCTTTCCCCATCTGTTTTGCTTTCATGTGTTGGGGATTAGCATAATGAATCAGACAGACCGAATGATTTGACAAACGGGTTGGGTCTTTGATTCTCTACTGTTGACACAATTTGGGGGGAGTGTGTGTTCGCGTGTGTGTGTTTAGAATGGCAGGGAGAGGCAGCCAAAAGTGGGATTGTGCCCACTTGCCTGATCGCCAGCTTGTGGTTAGAGCAGCACCCAACAGCTTAATTTGCCATTGTGTGTGTGTGTGTGTGTGTGTTATATTTGATCTGAAACAGCCAGTTACTTGATAGATGCAAAGCGTACAACACAACACAGAGACGCCAGTCCACCTCCTCATTGGCCTCATTGTAAAGTGAGGTATTATATCAACCTCTGTCTCATCAGGACCCTCAGTCTGGGGTCCTTCCCTGCAATCTCCCTCCTGTGCTTCATCCTTTCCTTTCAATGTTAGGGAGCAGGTTCTGTTTCTCAGGTGTGGAGGCTCAAGCACCCGCGAGCTGAGATTGTGCCCGCTTTGTACCTGGAAACCAAGGAGATGCTGAAATGAAGGGGTGGGTGTGTGAGAGAAAGAGACAGTGTTTACAAGCCACTGCAGAGAAGTTTGCCCCGTAAGCGCAACAGTTGGAAAGCGGTGTGGGGGGAGAGAGAGAGAGAGAGAGTGTGTGTGTGTTACCGGCAGACCTCGCAAGCAGAGTTAAACGCCACATTTGTAAAAAAAATTTGCTGTTGCTGCGCTTCTCCATCATGAGTGAGCTTCTGTGCGCGCGCGCCCCTCACCCAATCTTTTCACTATCTGGAGCTGCTCGGCCGCCGCTGCGCCAAGACATGTGCGTTAATCCCTGTGCAAGCATCTGGCTAACACACCAGGGGGTGGCTACTGGTTCTTACATGCCCCATCGAGGGGGAGAGAGCGCGCCCTGAAGAAAGTGGGGAGGCGGGGGACTCCAGCGACGGTGGTTTTGTAGTCATGGCTTTTAAGGCCAGCGGGAGTTCTTTCTTAGGCTCAACACGCGCACAGAGACTCGGGCAGGTGGCCGCCTCTGTGCTCGGGTTGAGTTCGCGGGTCGTCAGCCCCCACTACACAACATCCGAAAAAAGGTGATTAAGCCTCGCCTTACCTGGACATGTGTTCCCTCTGAGGTCGATGCGCTTTCTCCAGCCCCAGTTTGGTGAAGATGCCCACCAATACCATGACAGCCACCACCCCGCAGATGATGTAGACGATGAGGTTGGTTTTGTCTCGGGTGGGGTCGTGGGAAGGGTCGACGGGGCGGTTGGGCGTCTTGCGCCCGTTCAGCCAGGGGGGCTTGATGTAGTTGGTGCAGATATCCTGATCCAAGCGGCCCTTCCGGTACTTGCAGCAGAAGCGAAAGCCACAAGTGCCGCAACAGAAAGGGTATTCCCGGACGCTGCAATTGAACGACGGGTCCCACTGGCCCATCACGTCGTAGTAGCCCCTGCATTCCTCCGGAGTCGGGGGCGGCTCCGAGGCGTCGACGTGCTGCTCCCCTTCTCGGCTCTGGTTCCCCCCGGAGAGCATCACGATGCTGCCCAAGTGCTGCCCGGCTTTTTCCTGCGCCCGGCACAAAAGGGTGAGGAGGTCCGCCACCAAGTAGCTCAAGAACAGCCGGAGGAAGCCCTTCATCCTTCTCAGCGCCAGCCCGGGCGAGCTGAGGCTGTCTCCGCCGCCGCCGCAACTCAAGCCGCTCGACGCTGCTGCGATGCGCCAAGAACTGCACATAAAGGGGGCTCTCGGGCAACCGCGGGGAGCCCGCTCGCCTGGCAGCCCGCGCGGGGTTTCAGCACCGTGGACAGCTCCGTGGCTTTCAGCGCGCTGGGAAGCTCCTAGCGGCCGCGCAGCTTTGCAGGGCCGCCTCTGCCGAGCATGCGGAGCTGGGGGGCGGGGGTGCCAGTCCCACCTCTTCTCTCTCTCTCTCAATCTCTCTCTCTTGTTCTTTCTCTCTCCCCCCCCCCCACCTTCCGAAGCCTCAGAGCGCGGGGAGTGAACTGCGCGCGGCACTTGTGGAGCGTGGAGACAGGCAGGAAAAGCGAGCGTGGATGAGTGAGGGTCCAAAAGCACGAAGGAGGGTGGTCGGCGAGGGGGGCGGAAGGGGCAAGAAGCCTCTGGGGAAATCGGAGCGCGGGGTGGTGGCGGCGGCAGCGGCTGCAGAGCGGTTTTGCAGCGGTAGGTGGTTGCGAGGGGCGGGGAGATGGAGCAGCGATGGTGTCTCTAGAGGGAGGGGAGGACGCGACTCAACTGGCTTCGCTCTCCAGCTGCCATCCAGCTCGCACACCAACGGGCAGAGGAGACCTCGCCAAGTTCTCCAGCAGGGAAACTCTCTTGCTGGAAGACGCGCGCCCTCCCCGGCCTCTCCTGCAAGGAGGAGAGGGGAGGAGACTGCAGCTTCTTCCTGGCATGGGAGCCAGGAACAGTTTGCGTGTGTGCCCCACCTCACCGGTGGGAAAGCAGTCGGGCAGAGAATTAGGTCGGAACCAAAGGCTCTGAGCGGGTGGGGCAAGCAACTTGGAGAAACAGGGAGAGCACATCCATAACAGATTTTGGGCCAGTTTGCTTTTGGGGGGGAAGGGGTGACACAGCCAACCGCCCACTTCCTCCAGCATCTCTCAGAACCAGTTTATTCCAGGAGTGGGCAAACTCCAGACTTGAGGGATGGGGGTCTACTTTGGGGTATTTTTTTTACTAGAAACCCAGGGACTGGAGCTCTGATAATGCTCATTATCAGATTAGTAAAGTAATGACTTTGGCTAGCTAGTTAGGCACCACAGTTAGCATAACCAAAGCTGCTCTGTGCCATAGAACAAATAGGTAGGCCTAGCCCTTCCATTTCACCTACCTGTTATGTAGGAGAACAAGAATCAGAGGGGTGTATGGTTGTGTGTGTGTGTGTGTGTGAGAGAGAGAGAGAGAAAGAGAGAGAGAGAGAGAGAGAGAGAGAGAGAGAGAGAGATCTGGAAGCAGGTTGGAAGGGGGGGTGAGAAACCTGTTCTGTTCAGTGCTAAGCCTAAGCTGCACTTTGGCAGGAGGGTTCAAGAAACCTAAAGGGAAAGCAAGATCTAAGGGAATGTTAATGCTGTCAGCAGTTCCATCCTATGCTTAGCTTGTATATGTGTGGAAAGAAAACCATACATCCTAAAGACACCACAGTCTCTGCTGACCTTCATTCTCTGGAAACTGAGAATGCAACCCCTCTCTGCAGCCCCTGGAATCAGAGATTGGGTTGGTGTGTAATAGTGCTCTGCTCCTGTTCTCCCAGCAACTGATTTTCAGAAGCATGTTGCCTCTGTTCCTGGAGGTGGCAAATACATATAGCTATCATGACAAGTAACCATGGATAACCGTTTCGGGAAGGGCCATAGGGCAAGTAGCAGAGCATCTGCTGTGCATGTAGAAGGTCCCAGCTGCAATTCCTGGTGTCCGCGGGTAGTGCTAGCCAAGACCTCCATCTGAAATCTTGGAGAGTCACTGCTGAGACAATAAACGGACCAAAGGCCTAACTTGGTACAAGACTTATGGTCCTGTTCTCCATGAACTTGTCTAATCCTTCTTTAAGTCCATCCAAGCTGGCTGCCATCACCACATATTGGGGCGGCCAATTCCATACTATAACTATGCACCGTGTGAATAGTTTTTTTCTGATCCTATATCCTGAATCTCCCAGCACTGAGTTTCATTACATGAATCTGGTTTCTAGTATTGTGAAAGGAGGAAAAACATCTCCCTATCCACTTTCTCTACACCATGCATAATTTAATACAGACCTTTATCATTACCCCCTCCACACACACACTTTTCCCCCCAAAGGTAAAATTTGATTACCTTTCATCGTAGGAGAGTTGTTCCAGCCCCTTGATCATTTTGGATGCCCTTTTCCGCAGATGTTTTGCAAAACTCTGCACGCATGTGGGAGGGATCCAAGACTGCCGCACATGTGTTATGGTACGAGCATTGTTTCATGTGCCACTTTTTCCAGTGTGTCTAATGTTCCGCCTTGTTTACCATGCTTCCCTGCAGAATAAGCCCTGTTATATTCACAGTAGAGAAGGGCAGTGAAATATGATGGCCTGATATGATGATCTAAGATGATCCACTACATCCATAGATGAGCTGGAGTCCAGGTTCCATGATGCCATCACACTAGTCAGAAGACACTATTGACTTCCACTTATATTTGTAGCACAGCATGAGGACTTTTTGGGGAAGATGCACATAACTGAATGCCTTTCCTCCACCTCTCTTTTTCCTCCATAGCCTCCCCATATCACATATTAGATTGTAAGCTCCTTGGAATAGGGATCTGTCATACTTTGTAAAGTGCCACATACGTTTATGGTGATCTATAAATTCACATACACAAAGCTCAAGTTAGTATTTGTGCTCTGTGGTGGCAATGCTGTATTGATAAGGTGGGTGAGGTGGCAGACATGGAGTGGACTGTTTTGCTCTCTTCTGTCCCTGCCATACTCCCTCTTTACACCTATATCTGCTGCAAGACATGGTGTCACTGTGCTGTTGGTATGAAGGTCTGTAGCTCAGTGGCAAGGCATCTGCCTTCTGTGCAGGAGGTTCAAGGTTCAATCCCTGGCCTCTCTAGGTCAGGCTAAGAGAGGCTTCCTGTCTGAAACCCTGGAGTGCTGCTGTCAGTCACTGTGTCCTGAACCCCTGGCCTACCTGGCAGCAAGTCAAGTCCAAAGCCCAAGTCCAGGAGTCAAGCCACACAAGCAAAGGAGCAAAGTCCAACAGCCAGGAAATGCAATTCAGGGTCAATCCAAGTAGCCAATTCTGAAGTCCAGCAGTCAGGGTACAGTCCAGAGTCAAACCCAAAGCACAGTTCTGTAGAGATCCAGGAGCATCCAAACCAAGGTCCACAAACATGGACAGTTGAGTAGACCCAACACCTCAGCTCTGCTGCCCTTTTTGTACTTTGCATGCTGATTGCAGCATCTGGGCTTGATGAAGCATGTGACCCTCACCAGTTCCAAGCCAAATCCAGCTAAGGAATCACACACCTTCTCCCAGAGCTAGTGAGCCCCACCTGGCCAGCTAGGGAGCTGGGCTGTGGGCCCTTGCCTAGAGCACCACTCCTGCTGCTCCCTATGCCTATGTTCATGGGGACAGGGGCTCCTCTGGCTCTGGTGATGGGTCCTGCTGCTTTGATTCCTGAGCACTGACCCACCCCCCATCCCCTTGTGATCCTCCGTCACCCTGTGAGTACTTCCTTCCCCATCCCGTTTGCCCTGGTTTGTCCCAGTTACATCCCTCACCGGGATCCTCTTCCTCCTCCCTGTTGTCCTGCCAATTCATGACACACTGTAGACAGCACTAAACCAGATAGACCAATGGTTTGACTTGGTATTGCACAGTTTCCTGGCTTCTTGAGGTCCTAGGATGTGACCTGAAGCACATTATGTTAGAGGGGGTATTTTTCCACTGGTTGCAGATGACAGAAGCTATGACACCACGAGACCGGTGTAAAACCAAATCAAATAAAGGTTTTATTATAAAACAACAAAGCTTGTGGGTGTTTTTCCTTGCAGGCAAAGTCAAACTGCAACTTTTCCTCCTTTTATAGTCATGACCAGCTGTAACCAATCTGCCCAGAGCTCACAGAAACTGTTCTTAAAGGTACAAACATCCTTACTGTTTCTTTGCAGAATGATTCCCAACACATTATGCAGAAAACTGGACTAAAACTAAGGAGATGTCAGTGGCTGGATAAGAGACCTCATGTATTTGACCATGAATTCCATAATGGAAAAAAGCTGTGTATAGATGTTGAAAATTGGGAGTTGAGGACTGTTATCAGCCCGAGGGCCACATTGCTTTCCAGGCAGCCTTCCAAGGGCCACATGTCAATGTTGGGTGGGAACACCAGCAGAAGTGGGCAGAGTAATGAATGTACATTTTATGTTTGTCCTGTAGGCTAGTTTCTTTATCATCCATCCAGACAAGCGAGAGGCATTACCAGGGTACATCCCAGTCAGGCAAAAACATTCTGGTTATGAAGCACAACCAGTGAGGGTTGCGACATGGTAGTTCAGAGGGCCTGTGGTTCCCCATTCATGTCATCAAAGTAATGCAACATTCTACCGTGGTCCAACACTACAACATACAACATTGCACTGGGAGAAGACCTGTTCCTCAGCATCTTCTCTAATGTCTGCCTCTCACAGCCAGCCATAGATCAGAAGCTCAGACTGTGTATTTAGCCCAAGGCAGCTGGTACCAGGCTAAACCTTGGCACAATCTGGTTGCTTTTGCCACCCTTTTCTCTTGCATCTCAGATTTTGAACTGCTGATGTGTCTGGATCTCTCCAGCCAACTTCCTCCCCGAAATCATGAAGGTGCAGTAAATAAACAGTAAGGTGATTCAGAGGACAAAGCAGACGTCTGAAATTGGAGAGGGCTGTAGTTAGCTAATTGCCATTCTTGGTCTCCTCTTAAAAATAGGACTGGAGAGTACAGTGATGATTCCACTAAACATTTTGACAGCCAGCCTGACATTATTGGCCAGTGGGTGAGAAGCAAAGCCCAGGGACTCTAAAGCAAAAGAAAAACAATCCATTCCGTCTCAGCCCCAGCCCTCCCTGGCTTTAATATTTAATTCTTAAAACTGTTACCTCTTTCCAGCTCTCCTTGGAACACCTGTCTTTTCTCCCTTGCCAATACCTTTGCTTCTCTGCCATTATTTATTATTTAACCGTGTAAAGCTCTTTGGGAGAAGGTTAGCACTAAATATACTGAAAAGAACGAAGTAACAGCATGAAGGTGGAAGCTCCAGCCTTGCAGAGCACTTAGATCTGAAGCCCAGAAAAGTTCTTGCACAGTATCACAGTGCTGCATTCCTAAGATGGAGGTTGCTGGTTATAACTTTGGGAAATTTCCAACCCTTTCCTTACATACCGTATTCTTCGCTCTATAAGATGCACCAGACCGCAAGACGCACCTAGTTTTTGGAGGAGGAAAACAAGAAAAAAAATATTCTGAATCTCAGAAGCCAGAACAGCAAGAGGGATCACTGCGTAGTGAAAGCAGCAATCCCTCTTGCTGTTCTGGCTTCTGGGATAGCTGCGCAGCCTGCATTCGCTCCACAAGACGCACACACATTTCCCCTTACTTTTTAGAAGGGAAAAAGTGAGTCTTTATAGATCAAAAAATACGGTACTCCCTGTTCTCTTTCCATTCCTTAAAAAGTGTTGGATGAATTTTGTAAGTAGAATAGAATATATTATTTTACCATTTATCCTCCCTTTTACTCACGTGTGTGAGCAGAATGTTTGAAGTAATCAGTTTAATGCTTAGAATTCATTCACCTCATTAGCAGAGTTTAAAACACTATGCTTTGCAGCATTAAATGGAAAACTTTGAGACTAGACTGTATAGCCTTCTTGGTATTTATCC